GTCTAAACCACGTGTGATCTACTGTAGACGCTGAGGCGTTAACCACAAGGTGCAATGGATTCAGAGTTACTGTAGGCCTACACGTTGGCAAAAGAGCGAACAGTAAGGGCTGATTATTTAGAAAAACTTTTAATAATAATATTTAAAAAAGATGGCAGTCTACACAGTTTGACTGAGTAATACAATTCAATTCAATTCAAAAATACTTTATTGATCCCAGAGGGAAATTATGTAATAGGCCTACACAACAAGATTATTTTTTATTATGAGAATAAAGTCATAATAATACAGCATTAAAGTTGTAACCTAATGAGAATAAAGTTGTACGAGAATAAAGCCAATAAAGAATTGCAGTGTGTGCGTTGTATCAATGTGTATATGTGCATGGGTGTGTGTTGTGAGTGACCATGTTAGAGAGAGAGAGAATGTAAACTCATGTATCAATGTGTTAGTTTCTTACAGCACATTGTGTTGGTGTGTGTGTGTGTGTGTGGGGGGGCGGTGGGGGGTAATGTCAATGTCTTATCGATATGTTTATATGTTTAACTGCACACTGGAGACTGGTGAAACGCAATTTCAACTCCTGTGCTATCACTGTTACATGGATTTTGACAATAAAGTACACTTGAACTTGAACTTGAAATCATAATATTATGAGAATAATATTATGATATTAAGGGAATAAATTCATAATATTACAAGAATTATGTTTTTCCATTGCTAGATTAAAGTCGTAATATTATTTAGCAGTAAATAAATGTGTATTTCTATAAATAGTATAATTATAGCATCACTTGCGGTGAAATGAGGTGGGCAGGGTATAAAAGGAGCTGTGGAGCTCAGCTTGTTTTCTCCTGGGATGGAGTTTGTCTGCAGCTGAGCTAGTAGCTACAGACTGACGATATGGTGCGTGCAATGATGTTTTTTTATTTTATAATTGATGTCCCCTCTTGTTGCATCACAGTTAGATCATTTTAAAGTTGCTAACGCTTGTATGATCACAGGTGAACACCAGCTCGTTTCCCCTCCCTGTCTGCGTGAGTCTGCGCATCAGCAGGTATGTAATCTTATTGTAGATGTCAGCTTAAATTTGTAATTCTACTGTTTCTGTCTAAAAAGCGGTAACCAGCTAATTTAAATTTTGGGTATGATAGAATGTGTAACCAGCTGATTCTGGGCCACTGCTGTTTTGTTTCCGTACCTCCATCGTCAAMTGTTTTGTCTCCTAACTACTGGCACAAAAGTTTTGCTTCCGGACGCCTGTGGCTGTGTCTCAATTCAAGGGGTGGCTCTTCAGGAGTATGTGGCCCACCTAGGCCAGGTGCTTCCCAGTCTGTGTAAGCTGCATGAAGCTGCTGTGAAATGAGATGGTTTAGATGTCCTGATGCATCTCAGTAATCCAGGTAAAAAATCAAGCTGGAGCTCTTCTTAAACCTTTTATAAATCTGACAAATTTCAACCAAAACCAGTGTCTTCCTCACTGGTCTGTTTAGGTATTATCTGATGAGTGAACCTTTTTTTTTCAAGTATTCAGGGAGTCTCACAGATGTGTGCTGCCCACTGGATGCAATAAAAGAAACCATGGGGAAGTCTGGTTACAAGGAGGGAAATCATCGAGGCTTACAACAGGCTCCTAATCTCAAGAGATGGACTGGTGCCGTGTCAACACATTCAGTAACAGACGATGTAGAAAAAAAATTAATAAAATTTTTTTACTTGAGTCTTTTGGCTCTTTGTTACTAACAATTTGTCACAAAGACATGATTTGTTTGTTTTAACCACATAAAATACCAAGGATGATACAGTTTTCATAGTCGGCACTGAAAGCCTAAGGCTAGATAAGTCGTAGCTGAGACTCCAGTGTCCTCACACACGGCGGCCATCTTTGGAGGGGAGCTTGCCCACTCTTAACATGAATGTGTGTGGTGCATTTACTATTTAAATAACCATAACTTGGTCAGTTTTGATTGGATTTTCACACAGATTTTTTTGTTGTAAAGGTGAGATGTTATAAAACTGCTTACTTATAATGAACATTCATATAATAGTTACGTTATTTTGATAGGTAAAGTAATATCAATATTCACACAGAATATACTGTATTTAGGCTACTTTTATAGGTATTTACAAATAAAAATTTAAAGCAAAATTATACACAAATCAAAAATAGTACAAAATAGTAATATCGGTGGTAATTAATATGAAATAACCCTTTTTAATATTTTTCTCTAGAC